CACACACACACACACACACACACACACACACACACACACACACACACACACAAGTTGTGCAGGAAGCACCAGGACTTCAGGGCAATTTTAAAGACATGACTTCAACCTGTTAATTTATTGCCACACATCCTGTTGTCTATAAACATCTCCTGCGCCTCTGCATGCATGTGGACGTGCGCTCTGACATTCCAGTAACTGTTTACACGCCAGACAGCGTGCGTCATCGTAAAGCAGTTGTTGGCACTTCTTCTTCTGAAGAAGGAAAATATATAACTACAGAGAAATGCCAGCTTACTAAATTTTACGAAAAAAAAGGACAAAAATAATCTGTGGAGATAACCACACACATACACATTAAGACAAGCTGTCATTCATAAGGGTGCTCTCTGTGTGTGTGTTAGTGTGTGTGTGTGTGTGTGTGTGTGTGTATGAGAAGTTTGAGGCAGGAAGGAAGCTTACAGATGGTCACAGCAGAGAAAACAACACTGACATGCAGCAGGTTTAACTTGTATTGACTTGGTTCCAGATGGATTGATGCTCTGAGGCAGCTTTGTGCAGCTTCATGTTTTGGAGGGAAAACTTACTTCTGAATTGTGCAACACTGCTCTATGTCTGCATGAGATAAATGTTAATTCAAACATTTTTAGACTTTTTGCATTTGAAATCTTAAAGCTTAAAAAACTCTTTTGAAGGGAGAACAATGAAGCTTCATGTTTTCTGTTTTCCAATGAAGACATAAAAAGCAATAATATAAATCTGAAGCCAGAATTATGTAACAGTTTACAGTACTGCAACACTTAAGATTTTATTGGTGCCTGCTTGTGTGTGTACTTGTGGAACTTAGTAATTTGCGTGCTGGCACAGAGCAAATATTTTATTACCAGAAATTGGCAGCCTCATATATTGACGATTGAAGAAAGCCCAGATGAATGTTAAGATTAGACGTTTTAAAAATGAAGTTTTTAGTATTGAATGCTTCCCTACATGCACATCATTTAAGCAGATGCACATATCCTCAGTAAAAACAGAAGATTTAGTGCAAAATGGTTTAAATATATGAGCCAGATCGTGTTTACAGTCCCCGAGTTGGGTGTGGATTCCAGTAACTGCAGCACAGTGTTGAATTTTAATAATTATAGTGTGCTTTTCCATCTGTGATTATTATCGGTAGCTTTCCTGTCGTCAGTGTGGCATCTGCTGAAAGTTCCTACCTCACTGATGTCACCGAAAGCAAAGATGTTTGGCACTGACGTCGATTCATCAGCGCCTACAACGATTTTCCACGTTGCCTTGTTGAGCTGGATGCCAAGCTTGTCGAGGCCAAGAGTTTTAGTTTCAGGTGCTCTACCTGAAGGTTAATAAGAGGAAACAGAGGGGTGATCTAAGATTACTATTCTGATAGGAGGAGACAGGCAAACGTGTTTAAAACATATCTGGCTTCGGCTGCAACTCCTTTTCTAAACAACATCAAAAGACTCGGCTATAAATGGGTGAGGAACGAGTTCTGTGCAAAAACTCAAATGACTGCATAATATTATATGCAGTCGTGAAAAAATTAGGAAACCTGCTTATTTTTTAAACATATTTGGACATGTGGATATTTAATATCAGTTTTAACTAGATACTGCATAGTGGTGACATAATGACCCCCGCACGCACAAATGCACCACAACTCAGAAGTCTTTATTCCTAATAAATGTCATGCTGCTAGGTGCATCCCAAAATTGTTGTTTTGTAGTTTATTTTGACCCCCACACGCGAAGCGTAAGTCATATTGTTTTCGTACTGTTTGTTTATTTATTTATTTATTTTCTCCAGAGATTTTTGGTCAACCGTAGCACAAAAACAGCTGCACCGATCAACATGAAATTTGGCAGGGCTGTAGATAGAGTCTGACCTACACTGCTCCAGCCAACGGTTTTATGGTAGACCCCATATTTGAGGAGGGGCATAATGCTGGCATAGAACTGGCATAGTGCTGGCCTCTGCCCTGTCTTCTTCCCCATTTTAATTGCATTATAGTACATCACACATCAACAGTACATCTGAGGGTGGCGGTGTGTGTGCGTCGGGGTCTTCTTTTATTTTATTTTATTTTTTTTTACTCCCCCGTTCCCCGCTGGCCGTCTGGGGATGGGGACCCAGGGGGTGGGAGCTGATTGTCTGGTGGGGCCTGGACTGCGAGCGGACGTGGTGGCGGGGCTGGCGCTCCGGCTTCCCTGGGGC